AAGATCTGAAATCTGAAGAGAACACATTTCTCAGGCCGTAAAGGAAAAGAATATACTTAGATAGATGAAAAATTAGACTATTATTGTTGAAGTAAATAGCAGTGTTGGATAAAAATTCAGTGGCTTCAAGGAATTTAACTTGGAAGGTAAATAGAATGGGTTTTTAATCTATTAAGTTAATATTAAAATATACTTAGAAAACACTGCATATAATGATATCCTTATTCCTAATTTCTCACATAATTTTGAATAGTATATTTATTTTATAACACTATTATGTAAATTATTGTATAATAGCTATGTCAGCTTTAAATTAGACACAGGGATTTCTATGTTATTTTCAGAATGATCAATGCTAGAATAACATTGCTGCCAAAATGAATGGGAAAAAACAGTAAGAGGCAGGAGGCAAAATTTTCAGGGCCCCAGATCCAAGAGACGGCTCAGAGCCCACAGTTCATGGTGTGAAGGGCCCTCAGCAATCTGCTGAGCATCTCCAGCGTCTGAAGAATAGGGCTATCAGGAAAGGGAAGTCCGTGAGACATTCTCTCAGAAATATGAACAGAGCAAGCTGTTTCCAAGAGAAATATATGTAGTTCAAACTGATAGGGAGGGCTAGGCCTATGATTTGGCTATCCGTGGATTCTTTACAGCAGGTAAATACTTTTAGTACAAGATTCTATGTTATGTTAGCGTGTTTGTTCCACCAGTACAAATTAATTACACAGGATAAGTAATAAAATTATCCTCAAACATCATCTTTTCCTGAGCAAATACTTAGGTGATGAATAATATGATGTTGTGGGCTTCAAAATTTATTTTTAATGTTAATTTTTCTTGTAATTATTTCAAAATGCATGTTGAAAATAAAAAGTCTCTACTATCTTCATACATTCTCTTCTTGATTTTAAAAATTAAATTAAGATGTTTGTATAGATGAGTAGGGTTGCTGTAATTTTTCATATAACATGCTGCAAAAATTCTTCACTAAGTATGTCTTTATATTATTAATTAGTGTTTCATTCATAGCATATTTTGTTATCAATTTATAGTAGACTGAATTACATAAACATCTTGTTCAACATTTTAGATATTTCTGATTTTTTTATAAATGAAATATCATCTTCCATAAAACTTATATCACTTCATTTCACTTTTAGAATAATTTTTAGGGTTGGGGTTACTTATATAAGAAATACAGTGATTTTTATGCCTCTAAAAATATTTGCTAAAACATTTCCCAATTAGATAATATGAATGAAGCTGTTTTGTTGCAATTTAGAAGACGTCATTATTTAAAAACCTGACTTAGAAACCTGTTTTATTTTTATGATGGATTCAATCCTTCAGTGCACTTTGTATGAATAAACACTATTTAAAATTAAAGTTTATATCAATATTACACACCTCCCTGTTGAATTATACATTGAAAAGCAGTTCATAGTAACTGTCTTATTTGACTGTCACAGGTCAGCAGCTTGAACAAATGTCACTCTGTTTTATGGGAAAGGACTCAGGAGCTTTGTGGTTTCTTCAGTGACACATGACTATAAATATGTAGCTTCTAGATTTTTTTATATTGGAAAGTGAATAATTGTTATATTATTTTAATTAACTTTTCATTTTGGAATAATTTTAGATTAATAGAAAAGTTGCCAAGATAATATAGAGTTTCTGTCTACTCCTTGGTTATTTTCCCCTAATAATTATCATCTAACATGACCAGTAGCACATTTATCAAAACTGTGGAATGAATGTTGCTATACTACTCTTAAAGAAGCACAAGATTTGATTCATGTTTCACTAACTTTTCCACTTCTATCACTTTTCTGTTCTAGGGGTCAATCCAGGACAACACAGCACATTTAAGTACCTTTTAAATAATTTCTAATCATAAACCTTGTGATCATAAACTCTGAGGACACTGCCCTCTCCATTGCCTAAGTATTAACAGTAATTTTGGAAATTCCTTTTATATTAAAAAAAGAGCAGTTTGACTTGTTCATGTTTGATGAGCATTTTGATTCTAAAGTAGTATTTCTCTTAGAAACTTCACAGATTAGGGGCATACAGAGCCTAAGAACTACTTGTTAGATTAATACAGAGCCTTGCTCTTTCTCTCCACTGTTTGCATTATGTGATGTTCTTTGTTCAGTGACACTACCTGAAAAAGAAGTGGGCTCCTGAGGATCTGGGCTTCCTAGGTGACGCTAAAGGTGAGGAACCTGCCTGCCAGTCCAGGAGACAGAAGAGATGCAGGCTTGATCCCTGGGTCGGGAAGATCTCCGGAGAAGGACACAGCAATCCATTCCGACATTCTTGTCTGGAGAATCCCATGGACAAGAGGGGCCTGGCAGGCTCCAGTCCATAAGGTCACAAAGAGTTGGGCACAACTGAAGCAACTTAGCACCCACACACGCACACATGAGGGTCTGAAGACTATAAAATTATATTCAGGAACTATTAAAGACTTAAAAGTGTTGCACATTTAAATGATACCATATCTTCACTGTTGCAACCAGTAAAAATATTTTATATTTGTGAATATGTAAAAGGATGAGTGAAGACATTTGTAAGCCTAGATCATGGGAAAGCAGAAATTAGGAGTAAAAGCACTGTCATTTCTGCTCTGTGTCAAAGGCTCTGGGAGCTTGTTCTCACTGACGGCAATTTTCTCCAATGCATCTAACTGCATTCATGGTTTTACCAATATCAGTATTGCCTTATCTGATTCTTCCAAGAACCCTATCAATAGGTGTTGCTAAAATACCCAATTACAGAGAATCTGAACTCTAGAGAATTTTAAGTAACTTTTCTTATCACATAATATAACTTAGCACAAGAGCTTGAATTTGAACCTACGTCTCTGTGACTCTGGAACTGATGTCTTTATTTCATTTTATTGGCTCCATATATATTAACAGTCTCTACTTTTTAATATATAGTCATTCACCGATCCAATGATCTTATAAGGTTTGTTTCATGTTCTTGTTTACTTGATGACATAGCTGAATATGGAGTTCAGAGTACAGGTGCTCCTTAGGAATGTCTAGCATCCTGGAAACAATTTGTTTTAAAGTAAGTAAAAAGACATATTGCATATATATCTGTATATGTGCTAGTTTTATTCATATTTTCAATCATTTTTGTTAGCTGTCAGTGTCATTCATAAAAATCAACTCATTTTTAATTCTTTCAGAAAGCCCAATTATTCTTTTACTTCCCTATTTAACAAGCATAGATCATATGTACATGTACACACACACACATACTCACTTGCCCCTTGACTGATGAACCTCTCGTATGTACAAGGAAGGACACAATCAGGCTTCCCTGGTGGTTTAGTGGTAAAGCATCTGCCTGCCAATGCAGGAGACATGGGTTTGATCCCTGCATCAGGAAGATCCACTGGGGAAGGAAATGACAACCCACTCCAGGGTTCTTGTCTGGGAAATCACATGGACAAAAGAGCCTGGCAGGCTACAGTCCCTGGGGTCACAAAGAGTCAGACACGACCGAGCGACTAAACAACAACAAAGGACACAGTCATTCTTCAAACATGTCCTGCTATAAGAAATGAAGCCAAAAGTTGGCCTTTCTGTGCGTAAGCTGTCTGGCTTTTTAAGAGGGAGAAGAGTCACTGAAATCAGTAAGCGCATTTTATCATAAGCAGCAATTTCAAATTTTCTAATTTGACCCTCATTATAATTGTATGAAATGAGTAGGGAGGTTATATGTGAATCTCCCTACATTATAGTAAGTTATATACATTTGAAACAGATACACACTGGTGAGTATTACTTGATCTGATTGGGCCACATTGAATAAATACTTAGCAATCAATTAACAAAGCCTCAGGCTCTGGCTGTAGCCAGCGTACTGTTTCTAATCCTTACCTATGTGGTTATTGTCAATTTGTATCTGTAAATAATTGGACCATTACCTTCTGATTCCACATCATTGGCTCTGTGTCCTTCATTAGGAAGCATCAGTCAAACTTTAACACAGAAATCAGAAGGTTATAACCTCTACAGTGAATGGAGACTCTAGAGAAGCCCGTCCTGCTCTGAAGCTCTTGATAGGAAAAAAACAAAAACAGAAACAAACCACTTCTTTCCCTGTAGTCAGTCACTTCCATGCTGGAGTCGGAGGTTCTGGGTTAAGATACAGAGCCAGCATCTGTTATTTCTTTAATTCTATCTCTTTAAGCATGGGCTTCCTACCAGTAAAATTGGGTAATAAGATCTAACGTGGAGTGTTTCTTAGCCATTTAACTCTGAACAACTGCTTCCTTGCATTATTTAGCTTAGTCATTGTAACAGTACACATCAGTAGGTATTACTTATTTTTGTCAGCTTCTATTCTTGTTTTTAAATAATGAGTGAAGAGAAAACCAACTTAACACATGGATATTTATTATGTCTTAGTCTTCAGCAAGGTGTGTTCCCAATGATCATTCTCTTTTTAAAAGAATGAATTAGTTGATTTTAAACTCTCAATTCTGTTTAGAATTTTAAAGAAATAACTAAGGGAATAGCCATGATCCAAGCCCCTCTTCAGTTTTGTCTTATTTCTCCTTCTATCTGTAGATAAGAAAGTCACCTAATCATGGACAGCTTGCAACACCCCCCTGCCCCCCGCTTCTCACATCCATGCACATGGAAGGCATGACCAATAAACTGCAATTTTCCTTTCCTCAGATCATGGATGTGGCTTCAGAACTCTGCTCACGATTCACTCCAGGAAACCACTACTATTAACATATGACCTGAGCTGGCAGTTGAGATGACAACTATTTCTTATCCCCACAGGTGGATCCCTATCCTTCTCCTACATTGAAGCTCTATCTTAAAATATTTAATAATTTATCTGTACTTCAATTCTTCCTGGTATCTCTCTGGCACCTTCAACAAATTTCTAGCTTTGTGTTCTCAATGATAAAACAAGCACAAGAAGATAAGTTAGTTTTTCACATGGATGCACCAATTTGTTGATGACTGATGACCCCTCAAACTGGTCTGAGACACATTTGTCCTTTTTCTTTCTGTAGATTCTACATGCTCACTGTGGTAGCTTTCACCTTTTCATTGGAAATTATGCAAAACCAAAGCTTTGTAACTGAATTTGTCCTCCTGGGGCTCTCACAGAATCCAACCATGCAGAAAATAATATTTGTTGTATTTTTGTTCATTTACATTGCAACTGTCGGGGGCAACTTGCTAATGGTGGTGACCATCAGTAGCAGCCCAGCACTCCGGGTCTCCCCCATGTACTTCTTCTTGGCTTTTCTGTCCTTCCTGGATGCTTGCTTCTCTTCCGTCATTGCCCCAAAGATGATTGTGGACTCTCTCCTTTGGAGGAAAACCATTTCTTTCAAAGGCTGCATGATCCAGATCTTTGCTGAGCACTTCTTTGCTGGTGTGGAGGTGATTGTCCTCAGCGCCATGGCCTATGACCGCTATGTGGCCATCTGCAAGCCCTTGCACTATTCTTCTATCATGAACCATAGACTCTGCATCCTTCTGATGGCAGTAGCCTGGACAGGGGGCTTCCTGCATTCCGTGATACAGATTCTTTTCACTTTCCAGCTGCCCTTTTGTGGCCCCAATGTCATCAATCACTTCATGTGTGACTTGTACCCACTTCTGGAGCTTGCCTGCACTGACACTCACATCTTTGGGCTTTTGGTTGTTACCAACAGTGGGTTTTTCTGCATCTTAATCTTCTCCTTGTTGCTTGTCTCCTATGTGGTCATCCTGCTGTCTCTGAGAACCCATAGCTCTGAAGGGCAGCAGAAAGCCCTCTCCACCTGTGGATCTCACATTGCTGTTGTTGTTTTGTTCTTTATCCCATGCATATTTATGTATGTACGACCTCCATATTCTTTCTCCTTTGACAAAATGGTAGCCATATTTTATACCGTCCTAACTCCCTTGTTCAATCCTTTGATTTACACTTTCAGGAACAAAGAAGTGAAAAGTGCCATGAGGAAAGTGTGGAATAGGGTAATGGTGGTTTCCAATGAAAAATAAAACATTTAAAGTTGAATAAAAAATTCAAAGTTTCTAATCAAATCAGACAAAAATTTTATATGGATGAGCATTGTTTGACAGGGGGCAAAGTAATGTAATAATATAAAAAATAGCATAAGTTCCAGGAAATAATTTAGTTTTCATTCTTAGATCACTTATGGACTCTGATTTGACAATTCAATATCCTCAAATGAAAATTAAGAAGACTTGAATTTTATGCTTACTTAAAATTTAACAGTCAAAAAAGAATGAAAAAAATTACTCTCACTTCTTGCTACTAATTTGATATTTTGGAAAATATTTCTGGAGGGAAGACAAAATTGTCTTAGAGATTAGGTTTATACATATATAACTATATATGTATACCAATGAACTTTTTGCCCAGATTAATGTATCCAGATCACTGCTGTACAACTGAAAATAACAAAATATTACAAATCAACTCTATTTTAAAAAAATAAACAATAGAAAGAAAAACATAAACATGTTAATATTTCAAATTTGGCAAAGAACTGTAATTATTGCTGATATTAGCCCTTTGATATTGATGATAACTACAATTAACACTTTGAAAGTAAAAGTGAAGTCGCTCAGTTGTGTCTAACTTTTTTGTGACCCCATGGTCTGTAGCCTACCAGGCTCTTCTGTCCATGCGATTTTCCAGGTAAGGGTACTGGAGTGGGTTGCCATTTCCTTCTCCAGGGGATCTTTTCAACCCAGGGATCAAATCCAGCTCTCCCTCATTGCAGGCAGATGCTTTACTATCTGAGCCACCAGCGAAACCAATTCAAGCGTTCATATAACACGAATAAGAGTAGTTAACCACACATATTTCAGAGTGTAGGAATAGCTTACTCCAGTTAACTTTCCAAGAACCGAATTAAGAAATTCACTCCATTTTCAGAGCACCCTCTCTGCTCCACTGCAGACCTTGCTGTTCTGTCTGACCCAGTGTTTCCGGGAAGGAGCTGTGTGAATTATGGCTACATGAAGTGTTCCCTTCTCCATAAACTCTCAACATCCCATCATCACTTGTGATAGAAGGCAACGATAAATCTCAATGAAGTATAGTTTATGTGTTTTATTCAAGCGTCACATAATTCACCTTCTAAGTAAATGAGAGTTGAAGATATGAAAAATACACTCTGTTGGAAGTCATCTGTTTGGTTGTAAGAAAAGAGGTGAGTTTCTCAATCTGTCTGAAATATTTTCTTCTGTGCTGTGCTGAGCCTCTCAGTCGTGTCTGACTGTGACCCCATGGGCTGTGGACCACCAGGCTCCTCTGCCCATGGGATTCTCCAGGCAAGAGTATTGGAGTGGGTTGCCATGCCCTCCTCCAGGAGATCTTCCCAACCCAGGTGTTGACCCAGGTCTCCTGCATTGCAGGCGGATTCTTTACCGTCTCCTGGAATCTATACTCAGCGTGTCTTCTAACAAATGATAGGGCTCCTGGGGAGTGTTTCTACCAATGAGGAATATGCTGGTTCGGGCTTCCTAGGCCTTCCCTGGTCTCAGCACGTAGCTGAACTACCTCTCAAAGGCATCTCTGCTCACACAGGATGCAACACACTGAATCAAGGCCAGCTTGGCAGAAGTTTCTATCTTGGGGAGCACCTGGTTCAAAGTTTATGGCCAGGGCTGATGTTTCTGGGACAGAGTATGAAATTGGGCTTCACTTTCTACACACCTGGGTTTTCAAGATCCTCGACAATCCTTGCTATGACACACAGCAACAAGCTCTCTTTAATTGGGGTAAGTGAAGGCGTGGTTGTTCAGGAAGAAAGAAGCTGAACTGTGGGATGAAAGTTCGGATTAAACGACTTTCTCTAAGATGTTTGCTCTCCTCCCCACTCTATGTCTTTCTATATCCCATCCCCGACTCTTCTTTCCCTGGTACCTGCTCACTCCTCTCTCCTGTTCTGACTACATGAGCCTGCTTCTTTCCTCTTCTTCACTATTATCCAGTTAGATCTTTATTTTCTTTTGCTTTGATATCAGCCTCAGCATGCAGTTTAATGAACTTGGTTTTGGAACCAGGACAGAAATTTAAGATTTCAGTTGTCATCCTTCTCTCGTTACCCATGATTTCTCTTTTCTAAGATGCAATCTACATGATGATTAGGATTTGATATTTTATATGACATGTAGGGTGAACGCTGAGAGAGAGGCTACCTAGTAACATCCCTTTCTAGTTCTAGCCTAACTGCCTTAATTAAAACACTGTATCATAGGTCATGCTTTGTAAATAGAAATGGATGAATCACATGGCCAGTTACCTTGCAAAAAAAAAAAAGTGTAGGTCAAATGAAATAACACAAGCAAAAGCTTGTTTGAAAGACAAGATTATGGAACAGGAATATTTTATCCTGAATTATCTTATTCAATCATATATATATATATGGAACATAGGAGATAGAGGCAGATGTTTATTTAATATAGGAAGAATGGAAGGATTTTGGTACCAAATATATTTGAATTAGTCAACATTTGAGTACGTAAAAGGAACATTTAAGGATCAAGGAAGTAAAAAGACCTTCTGTCACCATGATGCCCTCCTAAATCAAAGAGGCAGGGTAATCCAGAGAAGTGTGGAGATAATGGTTGAATTCAATAATAAAGTCCTCAGGTAGTATTGGTTTGACCTAATGCATACATCTTGTCAATGATGCTTTTTATGTCTCCAAATCTTCTCTTCGCTTACTTAAAATAAAATAGAATTACTTGAACTGGATTTCATGGTTGTCTGTTACCTACCCAAGATTTATCTCTTAAAACTTTTGGATTTAATGAGAGTGTAGTTTTTAATGAAGGGGGCATCTGTTTTTTCCTGAAGTAATGCGTGTTCCCTTTCTAAAAGTATTTAATCACTCTTCTATCCTAACTACTCCTCTTTTCACAGCAAAGGGCTCCCTTTTTTTGTTTTTATCCCCTACTGGAAACCTAACGTATTAAAATTAAATAATCATTGATTTACTTTCTTTTTTTAATAATCATCAGAGAAAATTGAAACACCCAATCAGAGTTTGCAATTATTGTGATATTTCTAATTTCTCACAGTGAACTAATATTATTTTAGCTCAACTGCAAGGAAAACCTAATTGTATTTAGATGTGTAACTTTACTAGAGTTAAATAGTTTGACTTACTGATATTAATATATTTATCTTACTTAGGGAAACCCTTTATAAACTTTTTGAATATTTAATTCTCAGAGAACCTTGTTGGAAATTGCAGTTTAATTCAATTAAAGCCATAATTTCACTTATTTCCCATGTTTAAACCTTTAATGGCCAGTCAATTTATTTTCTAGGATCTTTCTGATATGGAGTTAAAATTCACTTGGTTTTATCACAGAGTTGTGTGTAGTTTTCAGTGATTAAGAATCTTACATAGAGAAATGGTATCCCTTCGAACATTGTTGTGAGGAGGTGGAGGACGTCTTTTCATGCCCTATAAGTTGACTCCAGATATGAGGAGGTTCTCAGTACACATTTGATGACTGAGTTGATGGTGTTATTGAATCACTAGAGAACTGATGATTAATCAGAAAGAGGAAGTGTACATCAAAATTCATGTTACAATTTGTTTCATTTGACATTAAATTTTAAAGGCATGATTCACTAAAATGGAAACAGGAGTGTAAAACTGATAGAGTTTA